TCCTCGTGTTGATAGGAGGATACAGTGGGCAGATCCCATCCAGCACGAAGGCTGCAGTGTCTTTACCCAAACACTGGAATTCTGCTATGCCCACAGGTTACTTGTCTACGTTACAAAATAAGCTCTGTTGTTTGTATACACTTTAAAATTCAGAAATCATTTAGGGAAAGTTAATTCAATTGAAGAAATTAAGTTTACCTGGAGAATCAGAAGTACCACTGATGTACAGTGTTATTTTAATGACCAAGATTAAGTACTATTGTTAAAGTAATTAGCTGATCTCTCCTATTTTAAATTTCCTCATGATAAAGCTGGTGAATTAGTTATCAAAAAAGCCTTTATTTGAAGACAAATCAATTATTTTCTTATTTAGTTTGGCTTTTTATTTAATAATTAAGGCCACTGAAAAGAAAGCAGTTATGTGTCTGATACTAGAATGTTGTCATATCACATATGATTAAATATTTTTAAAATAATAACTTTTCTTTTCTGAAAGAATAATGAAAAGCTATCTTCAAAACAATCCAGCTCAGCACAATCATACTGAAATCAATTAGAAAACACTGCAGCATTTACACAGCTGTTCTATTGGCCCCTTCACATGCAGATCTCTAAAATAAAATGAGCTGAACACCAATTGCTTTAGGAACACTAATTACTACACAAACTTTGGGTGGGGCTTGAGCATTCAGCAGAGGTTTGCAGATTTCCTCCCTGAAGCCAGGTCACAGCACTGCTGTGAACACTTTGAAAATTCCAACCATTCTTAACATGAAATGTGACTCAACACCACTCTGCAAGGTACCGACTGTGACATGTAAATAAACATTAAAAACTCCACGTTCAGCTGGGAAGCCTGTTTATTCTGATAACCAGGATTTTTGGTCTAAAGACATTTATTTATATCCTGTCCAGTACGGTGAGTACATGCCTTTCCTTGCTTTCACTATGATTTCAGTGATGATGACACAATGAAATACCAGAAATACTAATATCCACAAAATGACCAGCAATTGTGGAATAACACATATTAGAACTGTCAATCCAGGCTAATATGCAGTTGCCCCAGATAGAAAACTATTACAGAACTCAGAGATAACCTGCACCCTTTGATCATTCAGGTCTCCAGATGCAAGTCCTCTGAAGGTAATACAGATGCCTTGAACAGAAACCTGGGGAGAATGAGATAACTAGTGAAATTCTAAATTGGAAAACACTTTCATCTGGTTCATGGGTCAAAAACTTTAACAGATACAGGCACTCTGTACTCACTGTGACTTACTCTAAACCTTCCTTACTGAAGCTAAAATGTCCTCTTTGCTCCAGAACTGGAAAAAGAACATTCATCTGGTTTTGAAGAAACTTAACTAAACTGGTTCTTTTCCTGTATCCTGTATCTTCCAGAGGTTTATGACAACAAGATGAGCTGAGCAGAACAACTGGAAATCAAACCAAGAAACTCCTGAGAGTAACTAACTGCACTCAATCGTTTTCATCTTCCTGCAAACTTCATTTGTGAAGGTTTACGTTGCTTTTATGTTGGATTCCCAGTTTGAGACATGAAGGTTTCAACCTGGAAAACCAAACAGGGGGCATACAAATTTAGACTTTACTGCAAAAGGCTGATTTAAACACTTTCAAGAAAGCAGGTAGGACTAAGGAGCTAACTACAATGGTAAAATGATTAATTCAGAATAAAGTGAGCTGATTTGCAGCACTCTAACCAAACATCAGAATACAGAAACTATTTTAATGGATTAGAGCAGATGTCTGCCTAGTCCAGTGAGGATAGCAGCAGAATATGAACTCTGTACTAGACAGGTGTGAGATAATCTACCTTCCATATTAAGTCTCAATTTTACATGAAATTGCACTGAAACCATGATGTAGAGAACAATGTTGGGCATAACAGTAGACTAAAAACTGATGGAAATCCCTCTCCTGAAATGCTTTGTCCAATTCTGTGTGTCCTAATCCCCCTCCCCAATAAAAAGAATTAAAAAGGTTAAAAATTTGCAAAAACAGCAACAAAAAATCTTCTACAGGGAAAAGGAATGGAATATGAAAATGTTTGTATATAAGGAAAGAGTACAAATAATTACCAGTATAAAACAGATTAATATATTTACTTCCCTATAACAGGAAGAGATACTAATAAAACTGAAAGAAAAAATTCTTGCTTTATAAAAAATATGTATTTTCCATAAAGTATAATTAATTTACAAAATGTCTTGACACTGTGTATTTTCAAATCTAAGAGTTTAGAGGGGTCATAAGCATCCTAGATGTGCATAATTCTCTGTCAGATAACCTTTAGGAAGAAACCTAATTTTTATAATCCCTTATCTCTAAGTGCACACTATATTTTTCCTGACATCAACTCTTGTCAAACCTGGGTTCTGAACTAAATCAGTAAAGAATGGTCCATCACAGCAATCTGTGCTGCTATAAACCATGAATAAGTTACCATCCATTTCTCTGTAACACAGTTTCCTTATGCAAAAATGGCAAGTATTTCAAGATGAGAAGATGAGATGATGAGAGTTATTACTTGTGTTTTCTGATCCTTGACAAAAACATGATGTTGCTGTTAAAAAAAATAAAAAACAAAACAAAACAAAACAAAACAAAAACCATCCAGCAAGTATCACATACTCATACTAGCTAAATTGACTGAACAATGTTCAGTCCTTCTGTAATGGCTTTATTCTCCTTGCATTTGTGCAAAATGCAGGTTCCAGAGCTACATTCCTGTATCTCCTAAAGGCTGCTCAAGATCTCACACATGATGAAGATACACAAGCAGTGAGGATGCAGCAGGAACATTCCCCAATTATGTGTTCAACAACACTGTCAGTGTCACCCAGAAGTAAAGGGGAGGAAAAAAGAGATTCTTTGAGGGATTTGCCATGGAAAGAACCTGCCTGTCGACTTAGTGTCAGCTGACAGTCAGAAAAAATCCAAAACATCTCACCTTTTTTTCTCACAGTCTACTTTCCATGACCTTTCTTAAAAGTGGGCCAAGATCACAAGACTGCTTCCTTTTCTCTGAGGATTTTGGGTCTTTTTCCTATCTTTGTGTTTATTTGCATTTTTAATTCCTTATCTGGCTTCTCCAAAACAGAATGACCTGCAAATTAAACTTGCAAAGTGGCCAGACAAGCACTGTATAACTCAAGCAGACATGGACCAGGACATGCAACTAGACATGAATTCAGCACAAGCTGGAACACAGCATTTATGAGAAAATCATTGGTTAGTCAGCTAGTGGTCAGAAGTGGGAAAAGTTCTGGGCGAGGCTGAAATTAAAAAACAAATACTGTGGTGCTGCAGGTTTAAGCAATACAGCAGAGAACACAATGTAAATTAACCTGGAAGTAGCAGGAAATTTACATTCCATGTGGAAGTTACTGACAAGGGCACAGGTACAGGGGGTAGGCAGGAAAGCTGACACAGTCCAATGGCCACCAGGGATCTGTTCCCCAATTCACAGCTCAGGCAGAGCTGATCACCTGTGTTGGCAGTGTTACAGAGTGCAGATGGAAATAATCACCTGCTTCATGGACAAGTTCAACACACAATAAACTTCACAGTGTTTTTCCATGGGCTCATAAACAGTATGGCTGAACACAGAGTTCAAGATCCATGTGGACAATCCACTTCGATGCAGACTCTGTAGTATCATTTCCCAGAACACAACAGCATTTGACATACTTATCCCTTTTTTTCACCTTAAATGGCTACAAATCCAAGATCAGTTCTATGGGTAATGCATATTTATTTGGAGCCACTTCTGAGGCTGAACAGTGGAGGTGCAGCAGCTAACACAGCAGGCTGGGAAAATGAACTCCTGGTTCAGGAACCCAGATAATTTATGTATGGTACTATGGGAGATTAAATATTCAGGAATACTGTCATCTTTGTTCCATCTTCCAATGTTAGTATCTCTAATTTTCATAATATATTTTGAGGGCTTTTGTTTTCACGTGGGCTGGAAAAGACCTTAACTGTGTTTCGTTACCACAGGAAAGACCCCTGTACCTAGAGGTCCTTATAATTTATGAGGAGACACAAAGCTTCAGTTTCACAGACAAACTTATCTCACATACGCAGTTAAAGCCATTGTTAATACATCCTGAACAGGAAGAATAACATTTGGCACCTTCCTTAAAGAAATCTTCAGTAACAGTGTAAGGGAGGGGAGCTGTCAGGTGTGCTGCTCGCTGTCCCTCTGCAGCCTCCGGGTACTTTACACCTCCCAGACAGGTCAAGCAGCATCTGCAGGTCAACCCGCAAGCTACCAGCCTTGTGCTGCAGTTTCAGTCCCAGACCTGTGTCTTCATGTATTCTTTTTTTCATGCTAATTCACGCAGGCGGTCGTTTCTTGTGTAAGGGGAGCTCCTCTGCACCGCCGGTTTGCTCTGCTCTTCGCCACCGCCACCTTTGCCCCTGCGCGGGAGGATGGAGCAGGGTGCGGGAGGATGGGGATGGAGCAGGGTGCGGGAGGATGGGGATGGAGCAGGGTGCGGGAGGATGGGGATGGGGCAGGGTGCAGGCTGCCCCACCATCAGCCTCCTCCTCTGCCCCGCCGGGGCTCGGCCCCGCAGCGCCGGCCGGGTGAGCCGGCCTGTGGCCCTCACACCTTCCACGCCACAGCGGGTCAGTCCCGCTCAGGCAGGCCTGGAACGAGGCGGGCTCTTCCCTGTCTACCTGCCTGAAGGAGCTTTCCCCACGACCACCTTGTCCCTGGGAAGACTCTCCTCTTCCCCCAAGGGAAAGGGCTTTGCCCTTCGTAACAGCTCCTTGGGCAGGAGCCTCTGCCGCGGTCCCTTCACCACCTCAGTGCCCTCGGCCAGAGGTGCTCCCCCCCGCGTCTCCCCCAGGACAAGGGCTCCGTCTCCGCACTCCGCTGCGAGCCGGGCCCCCTCTACCGCCAGAAGCCCCTGGAGAAGGGGGGCTCCCCCTCTCCCCCCGCCCAGGCGCCTGCGGCTGGCACTGACCCGTCTCTGCCGTCCTGCTCCTCTCCGCCATATTTGTTGTCATCCCGCCACCCCCCCCAACGCCGCCCGGCCGTCGCCATGGCAACGCGCGTCAGCGCCATGGGGGAGCCCCGCGCCCCCCCGACATGGCGGCGGGGCTGACGGCCCTCCCCGGGGACAGCCTTCCCTGCGAGCGGCTTCCCGGGCTCATCCTGCCCGGAGAGAGCCTTTCCTAGGAGCGCCTGCCCGGGAACAGCCTGCGCGGGAAGCAGCGTCCGCTTCCATCCTCGCCCAGCCCGGCGGCCGCCGCGGTGGTGGCGGGCGGGGCGTGAGGGGAGCACCGCCGGCCGCCCGCCCCTCACGCAGCACGGCTCCCTCCCGCACGGCCGCGCCCGCCCCGCCCCGCCCCGCCTCCCGCGGCCGCTGTTTACCGGCACTGTTCGGACGAGGAAAGGAGGGCTCGTTTTCTGCTCCCTGGTGGCTGCCCGCCACTTCGGCAATTGCCGTCACTGAGCCCCGGAGGATGGAGCTGTGCCGGTACCGGAGCTTCTCTCGGGGCTCCTGCCTGCCCGTGGGAGTCGGTGTGGGCCTGAGGTGCGCACAGGGCGCTGAGGAGGAGAGGCTCGTTATCACAGAGTATCAGTTAGGTTGGAAAAGACCTCTGAGGTCATCAAGTCCAATCTAAGACCCAACACCACTATGTCACCTAGACCATGGCACCAAGTGCCACGTCCAGTCCTTCTTCAACACCTGCAGGGACGGCGACTCCATCCCCTCCCTGTGCAGTCCATTCCCACGTCTAATCACCCTTTCTGTGAAGAAATCTTCCTATTGTCCGATGTCCTGGTGTTACATGTCCCCCTCCACACAGCTCAGAGCAGCAGGGGGCAGAGGGGCCGGCGGCCTGTGTGGGTTCGGGGTATCTTGACGGGCCAGGGGAAGCGAGCACATCCCTCCTGCTCCGATTCCAGCCCCATGCACTGAGGTGCAGCACCAGCAGAGATGGCCAATGCATGTGTGCATGACTGCCCCACCCTGCCCCACGACTCAGCAGGTGAGTCTGGTCATGTGGCAGTTATGTCAACTTTTATTTTTTTTTTTTTTAATTTCTTAAGGCAGCCCAGTGGGGAGCTTCATTATGCGTGTGAGTGTTGCCCGTCTGTCTCCTTGCCCCAGCCCCAGCAGGTGAGCCTGACCATATGGCAAATGCAGTGCTGGGGACGGGAGGGCTCCTGTGTGCGCGTGTTCGCGGGCCCGCTGGGTGACACTCACCATGTGGCGAACACGGCCATGAAGGCTCTGGTGTACAGGGGCTAATTATGTGTGTGAGTCCCGGGGGACCCGGCAGCCTGGGTGTGATCATGCGTGTCTCGCTAATGCTGAGGCGCAAGCTCCATTGTGCATCCTCCCCGCAGACAGCTCCAGCCTCTGGGAAGCGAGGCTGACCGCGGGACGAGGGCAGGGTTACAAGTACAAGCATCAAGGCTCGTGTTTATGTGCATACACAGGCAGACGTGGGGCTGAATGCGCCCCGAACCAGGCGGCTCTTAAAACTCTGGAACAGGGAGTACACGAGCAGTGCTGAGCAATGGAAACAGGCAGGACTGTGGTTATGGTAATGCACTCAGGTGTTTGCTTCCTTAGACCTTAGTAAATTAATGTAACCACTTCCTAGTGACTCCTAGTCAGGGAAACAATCCAAGATTAAAAATTAAGGCATGTAAAGTTGTATCTTTCTCTATCTAAGTTCTGTTATTTAAACATCACTTTACCTCTTTGTCTTCCTACCTAGTATGTGCCTTTTCTGCTCCAGTTCAGCTCCTCTTAACAACACTCAGGTGGACAATACCTACAGGTTCTACATACTTAGATTTTTCTGTGGGTCACTTGCTAGCTTTCTCCCTGAAAAAGAGAAAGCCTGCTCCTTTTTGCAGCCTTGTTCATTCTTCTTTCAGTTCATAGTTCTCTGGTTATTTTTGCAGCATTTATTTTTGTGGTTTCACTTCCTTTACTGTTTCCTTTATTTTTCAGTGGCACTTAGGCCTCTTTCCTTTATCTATTCCTCTTCTCTCTCAGTATCTTACTTTAGTATTACATAAGCTAATTGAACATTTCTTCAGCCACATTCCTGTTCCATGATGAAATACCTGTCTGAAGTGGTGTACCAAGGGGGCTTTGTGATGCGCTTGGAAGATACACCCTGGCACAGAAGAATGTTGAAGGTCATCTAGATCCAAGCTCTGCAAAAATATTTTCTAGACTTTCCTCTCTGCAGTCTTTATAAACTATAGGTGGTCACTTGCATACTAAAAAGGTGGATTTGTCTCGCTGCTGACAGTGAGCTACACTAAGTGCACACACCCCCACAGACACATTCTTTTCCTTACAGCCTTGCTCCAGGCCAGCAAATCGCCCAGGCCTTCTGCTCTTCCTTATCTATTGCTGGGTAAATGATCCTGGGACTTCCCTCTTCAGAATATGCCGCATATACTCTGATCTTTCTCCTCTTTCTTTTGTGTTTCCTGATAGCCATGTCCCATCCCAACTATCCTTCAAATAATTTCTCATAGTCCTGATCACTTCATTCCTTTATTTGAGATTTTTTTTTTCCTATTTCTAGGTCTTAAACAGTTCTGTCCAAGTTTGCAGCTCTAGTCTGGTTTCTTACCATGTCCCCACATCCCCTTATTCCCTTTGTTCTACTTGCTATTCCAGCTTTAGTGTCCCCTCATCCATATTTCATTTCTATCTATTATTACCCATATAGCATTTTTCATCTGTAAATTTCTAAGAATTAAGTGCCTGTGGAGAGACTTTCCATATCTGTTCTTCGGGTGACCTCTTTATTCACATTTCTCTGAGACTCGCTTCTATGGTGACCACAAATACTAATCCAAAGGCCTTTTGCATCTAATTGCCAGCCGATTAACTCAACTGAAATACCTGCAAGAAGTTCTATTGAAATCAGAGACATTTGGGGGAAAGCACTTTTTCCATTCAAATTATCTCTTCTGAGTTAACACACTTGAAAAACCTAGAAATGCCACACTCATTTTTTTAGTCTGAGTTTAATGCTATGTTATAGTCACCTCACCAAGCTGAAGTGGTGTTAAATATAGATGATATGCAGTCTTTCCAAAAACAGTAAGATAATTTGACAAGAGAGGACTGCAAAGTTCATATAGAAAGTTCTTTTGGAAATAGAAAGATAACTGGATGGTGTAATTCGATTCAGGGCTGAAGAATGAGGGAAATGGTTTTCAGGAGAGTCAGTTGCTTATTTTTATTTGTGCATTTTTAGAGTACCTGAGAATATGTTGGGGTTGTCATTAGTACAAAGAGGCCTTTGGCCCTAACAGTCTGATTTTGGACATTACAAAACAACAAATAACAGAACACTGTTGCAAGACACTGGTGCCCTGGTTATCCTCACATTTGCTGCTTCAGCCCTATTCCTTGTTCCAGCATGTCCCTCCTCCCCCTTCTGCATCTTGGCAAGCAGAAGCTGCCTCACTTCTGTGGCTCTTTGCAGCTTATTCCCACCCCACCATCTTTTAATAGCCTATGGAGAAACCAACGGCTTCCCCCCACACATTTCATTCAGTAATAACTCTCTACTTGTTACATTTTCAAACCAGCACCTTCATGCTTTCCCTCGCTGCTGCTTCGCACTCCCACTCACTTAATTTTCCTCCTTCAAATCCCTCCCTAAAAATCTCCTCTGCTGTGATGTCTACCGAAGGAATGATAATGAATCGTCAGCTGTGTGCCAAGCTGAGTGTCTGTCATGGGGACTGGTCTGATGTGCTGGGCAGCCACTGCTTGTGTGGGACTGGCAGTGCCTGGAGGCAGCCCCTCTTTCCACTCTGCTCATTATGGGTCCTGGGATGGGCCCTTAAAACTCGTTATATAAGCAAACAGAAATAAATTGAGGCAATGCAAATGGAAATGCTGGCCAAAATCAGGAAGATTAGACAATATTTCAGTTATGATTCATCAGCTTAGGTAAATTTACATAAAAATTAATGTGACTGACAACTCCTTTCATTGCAAATATTGAGAAATAAATTATTTTTCTAAATACAGATTTGTGCCATTTTTCTACTTATTTTTAATCTATAAGGACTTGAGGAGTATGCTTTACTTTTTTTCTCTGTGTTTGTATTTGAAACATTAGATATTCCATTGTTTGTTTATCTTTCGTTTGCAGCCTGCAAGGCTGTGGTGATTAAAGAATATAAGAGAGAATAATAACATAGGAGCAAAGACTTGAAAGGAAAAAAGATTCCTGATCACTTTTTTTTCAACATGAGGATAATTCAAATATGTTGAAGATCGAATGATTTGTCTTATACATTCAATACTTCTGATTCAGCTAGAGGTGGCTGCTGTCAATACATGTCTGTCGAAACCTCAAAGAAAATCAGTAAAAATCCAATTTTACAATCCTGATATTTTCAGTGTTTAAAAAATTGGCAAAAAAATGCCCTTTCTTATACATTACAAAAAAGCCAGTGAGGTGCATTATTGATTTTTCACAAATCGTTTGTAAGTGACTGTTAAGGCTGGATGAGAAGGAGAAGATGGAGCATTAGCACGAGTTTTGCATCTGTTTCACACACCACATGCATGGTGCATGTTGTGGGTCTTCAAGGTGGGGATCTAAGAATCCAGGTGTAATTGTGTAGAAATAACATAATTACTCTTTTTTGTATCCCTTTCCCCACGTAGAATAAAGTAGTGCAGGCATTCAAGTATATTTCAACTGTGACTACTGTCAGAGAAAAGGCCATAGAAATGGTTCTGATGCAAACAGGGCATCCATGGTGGCTGTGCAAGCAGAGCAGGCACAACCCAATTTTAAAAAGCAGGAAAAAAAGAAAGAAAAGCAAAAGTCTGGTCAGTTTTTTGCCAGGTTGTTATGGTCCGGTGGATTCAGAGATAAAATTAAATCTGATAAAGAACGAAAAAGCCAAAATGAAAACCCAAGCCCAGACTGAGGTAGCAAAATTGAAGTGAATTTTAAA